TGGTCTAATGTACACTCACGCTTTGTCCGTGTTGTGATTTTCTTTCGAAAACAGCTTGTAGCTCGTTAATTTTTGATAATACGATTAGCTACTGAAAATCTCAAAATTTCACGGAAGGTTCATTGGAAGCGTTATGAATTCATTTCATTTGGTTTTTCTTTCAGGGCAAAAAATTTAATATGCGACGAGAAACAGCCGAAGGGGAGCTTTATCTTGGCTTAAAGATATTTCGATTCTATTTTCGGTTTGTTTTTGTGAATGCGCTGTTTTATTTTCTTGTTTAGTGTTTCGATTTCGTTCGTTTTTGTATACGACATGACTTTTGATTTTGAAACGAGTATCAATTCTGAAAAAGTTTCGTTTTTAATGATTGTAGATAGGTTATATTGCTTGTGATCCTATAGAATGCCATTTCTGAACTCCTCCGAGGCATATCGACGTTCGTTAACACTTTCTTGTTGGGTTATCACTGATACAGTTGCAAATCATTTCAGGTGTCCGAACTGTTTGGCTGAAATCACATTTAAAACGGATCTTGAGAATTGTGATTATCAGCAGGAGCATGGTGCTACTCGGTTATTCGAGGCATTCAAGTTGTATCAACAAGAGGAAAAAGCGAAGGAGACACAAGAGGAGGAAGATAAGAAGGACCCAATGAAAATGTTAGAGAAACGAACACAAATGAGTCGTGCTGAAATGGAGGCTATCGGTGAGTTATATTTATCAATATGAAATTGTTAAGTCTAGAAGAATTCCTTTCAATTCTTTATCTCATTCATTGTTCGATCAACAAGTCATAGTAGACTTATGATTCTCTATTTTTCATCACAACCGTTTAACAAATCTGCTATTTTGATGTGATCACTAATCAAATTTACTTCTTGTTAGCATTTCCGTTCTTTTTGAGATACCTGTGATAAATGTTTTCAGAAGGAGTTTGGAGTTCTACTTGAAAACGCATTGCATTCTATTCCCAACCTTCAGTTTCTCCTTACTCAGCTATTCATGATGCCTATTTAAAGTGAAAATCGAATTCAGGAAAACTCGAAGAATTGCAAGAAATAAATCGACAGCATGAAGCGTTCAACCCAGATATGTATTTGGCGAGTCAAAGCATGATGCAGGCAGAAGTGAGTTGATTAGATTAGTGGATTGGCTCA